ACTCGAGTGGCTATGATGAAACGTTTCTATGGCCTACAGTAGGTGCCCGGAAATTGGGTCGTTCTCTCCCGAAAGTCGGTTTAGTTGGTCGGCCCAAGACTCGGCATTGGATTTATAAAAGTAACTTATTATATATACCTGTAGATGTTTGAGCAGTCCAATAGTCTATAGCTATATAAATGTGTCCATCCACCTTCCAACATCCAAAACTTGTGTCCTTCTCCAGAACCCCACCCGTCCAACCAGTCCAGTGCCGCAGTCATCGCGCCCGGTGAGGCTCGCTCGGTATGGCTTCTATCTCCACGTCCACGGTCACCCGGCCGCCGTGATCCACCAGGTCCGGGCACCTTGGACCGGTACGGGGGGAAAGAGGGGGTTGAAGTGATGGGAGAGTGGTTCCGATTTCGGAGGCAAAGACTTTTCATGAAACGATCTCATTTCAATCGTGTTTGGGTGGCCCTTTTCACGGCCACTCAATGATTGTGAACGATTTGATCACGATCGCAGGGTTCGCCCGTGGAAACGAAGGGTTCGCCCGTGGCAGGATGAATGAAGACCACGTGAGAACCAGTCAAGCCCAGACACTCCATGTATGGCATGCGGCATATATGCCTTTGTATGCCTTTATTGACCCCTGAAACCACCCCAACTGATCGGCAAATATGGCAGTCTCATGGAGTGTTTGGGTAAGAGTAAACTATTGAAAGGAGGATTCATGCCATTCTGCTCATTGTTTGGTGATCTTCCTTCTCCTCAAAGTGCCGTTTCTCAAGGACCTGTTTTTCCATCGGCGTCCGTGCTGTTTCTTTTGGGGCTGCCTGATCTTGGGGGGGGTGGAGCTTGGAGCAACAAAAGGCTGAGGTTTGGACCATGCGACGCATTACTTCCAACATTTCAAGGGCCATTCAGCATCTTGCAAAGTCCAAACCAAGATCATCCTCTGGCCTCCAGGTGATTCCAGCTGACTGTGACTGGTTTTGGGGAAAAGAGGCTCAATTCAGTGAAGCCATGAACAACCTGATCGAGGGGGGGCCATCTACTTGGAAGGTCTACCTGGTCTACCTCCTCCTACACCATGAGGCCAACAAAAATTCTTAGACACTCCGAACCGCGCATCATGATTTTGCACGACCTGAGCTCGCTCCCAAGGAAGTCAAGAAGTGGTTTCCTGGTTGTCCGACCCTTGGTTTCAACAAATGCATTTGTGACTTTGATTTCTCCAACTCGTGGCTCTCCCAAGCTAATGCCTTGCTAGCTGCTAGCACTTGTGGACTTGGCCTTTGGCTGCAACTCATCTCCTTTTGGGAATGATACGCAGTGTCCCTGGCATGTAACAATGTCTCATCTTTGTCAAGCTGCCTCGCAACACTCTAGATCGCGCTCGTGAGCCGCGGCGATCGTACAGGAGGATCGGCAAACAGATATGGCGAGTATTAAATCGCTTTCTTGATGCACGCGAGTATTGCATGATGGTGCAAGAATATATCAAGAATATGTTCTTATTTGTCCATCCCTATTTGGGAGACAAAGCCAAAACGTCACACCGAGCCGCTCGGTCGAGCAAGGATTCACGTGATGAGCGACGGCCGCTTGGCATCACCATGAGCGATCCGCTTTCGCCTTTTAAAGGCATGGGTTTGTAATATTAATTCATGGTTCCTTTGAAGTCCTGAAACAAAAGAATGCATGTTTTCGGATGTGTGATTAATTTTCGGATACATTGTTGGGTCAATCATCGAATGAAGGATAATGCAGGGCATTAGGCAAATTGCTTGGCGTGATTGTCAGGAAACAAAAAATATACATCGGTGCACCTACAAGGATTATATCCAAGTCTATCTCGATAGAGTTCTTTTGGCTGTCAGCGGTTAACTCCAAACTAGCCCTAATGAGGAGATGCCAAAAATGCCAGGAGAAGGATTGAAAGAACTTAAACGCATTAAGCCATATTGAGTCCACGGAAGTTGCTCAGTCCACGTTCACATGCACACGATGGACGTGACTCCGTGTAGGACATTGTAGGACGATCAATCGTTTGAAGCGGGAATTGAAATGGCAAGCGCACCTTGTGCCAGTTCCCTTTGACCGACAGATTGGGGAGCCCTCATTGTTGGCCACAAAAGCCGCTGGAACGGCCCCAAGAGCGCCACTTTTCGCCTGCCCACACCGCGCCGCGGTGTCAATGCTCCGAGGCAACATGGACTTTACTGGGCTCTGTGCGTTGGAAAACTGCAGCTTCATCCTGTGCCTTGGCCAGACGGATGTTTGGAGACAAAAACGCATGTTCGATCAACTCCTGCAGGATGTTCGTTCGGCGAAAACACACTCTGGGCATCTTTGGGCCATGTTCTGTAGACAGGGCAGATGCTAGCTGAAAGGCAAACCATACAAAAGAAAACACAACCGGGACATGTGAATGAGCAGAATTCGTGGGGTCAACTGCAGCCCTCCAGTCATCACTGGCCATCAGTGGCCCAACGGCCCGTCGCCTCCAGTCACTCAGAATTGAGCCTCTAAGCTTCACCAAGTCCTGAGTGTTCCATGGATTGACTCCGCCTCTTGGGCCACTGGAGACGGGAGTTTGTTCAGAGTTTGTCCGAGTGGACCATTGGAGACTGGTTGGGTTTCTGGTGTTTTCTGTGATGTTTCTGTGTATTTTGATTTATATAGATATATATAGATTATAGAGTATATATTGTACAATAGATCACTTGGCGGGTCCAATACAGGTCCCAGTTCTGCCACACTGCGCCCAGGTGCCCTCCAGCGAACGACCGGTGGCATCCGTGCCGTGGTGGTCGAAGACTGTACTCGAGACCCTCACGTCAGTTCGACGGTCGAGGCTCCCAGGAGTTGTAGCAGTAGCTGTAGTAGCAGTAGTAGCAGTAGTAGTAGTAGTAGCAGTAGTAGTAATAGTCGTCGTCCTAGTCCTAGTCGTAGTCGTAGTCGTAGTCGTGGTGGTGGGAGTGGTAGTGGTGGTGGTAGTAGTGATGGGAGCAGTGGTGGTGGTAGTCGTCGTAGTAGTAGTGGTGGTGGTAGGCTATAGTAGTAGTAGTAGTAGTAGTAGTAGTAGTAGTAGTAGTAGTAGTA